AAGAATATAGTACATAGCAGAAGCACTAAAATGTTAAAGCATGGGTATATTGAACACTTACATGCAGAATGGACTTCTACTATGTGTAATATGTCGAAAGTCAATGTCGTACAATTAGGGAAAGTGGTAAGACAATCTATAGTTTGCTGTTAGTGATTTGGATATTGCCCCACTTCAAATATTGTTGTTCTAGTGTTTTCCTGAAACAACTTAGCTAATAACGGAGTTGGTGTTATAGTTTCCCCAGCCAGCTTGTATCTTCGTGTAGCCGTAGTGGTGCTAAAGTTACTGAGTAAGCAATGATTTGGCCCTAGACAAACACCCATGTGCTGTCTCGTGCTTATTCCTTCTCTACGATTTTATTCTGCGCGGGATCATATAGTTTGTTTCCCTTTAGCTTCAGTCAGCCGGCCGGCCGGCCAGCCAGCTAGCTTTCAGTCTGATTGGTTGGTCGAGAAACAAAACATGGATTGCGGTAGCCATGTCTACTGGCCGAGTTCTCTAAAAACACTACAACAGGAGTCGTAATTAAAAATCCGTTAATCTGGCTCTCGCAGCAAAGTCTTTCTACTTCTATTCTGGTATCCCAATTCCTTTCTTTATTAGGCCAACGGGAAATTAACAAAGGCGATGGAAGCAACACGAGTAGCAAAAAACTAAATAGACACCTTACAGCATCAACGTAACATCGGTCCATGCTGAAGTAAAGCAAGCAAGCGATAAAGAACTTAAAAAGGGCTCTGTCCTGGGTATTGTGATGCTCCTATCCGCCAAAACGAACCCACACGCTACACCTAACATACTGACTCATCCACTAACAACGGCATTTTCTTTTCCCCTTCGTCTTTTCTGATACCGCACCAACGAACCTGTCTTTTTGCTGGCGCTACCAGTGCAATTCAATGAGTCAGCAATTTTTTTTGTTGCAAAATGCTTCACATTTACGACGCAATGATTGCAGCAAAACGTTCTGCAGCATCATTATACAAGGCGTCTGACAATTATAATAAAGTTTTTACTTTTTAACTGGGACGCGTTTGTATGAGAACTGATTATTATAAGGGTCCACGTATACATAAAGAATATTGAGTAAATAAATACCAGATTAAGCTTTTAATTTTACATTGTTTGTCCAGAATGTTCAGTCAAGTTGATTTAGACTCGAATACACCGTTGAAGTAAATCATGTACTTGTGTAGGTGGTCTGAGCCTTATCGCAAAGCTTCCGCTGAGCTTTGGAAGCCGATTGCTTACGGAGAGTCTTCAAAGTTAAATTAGAGTTTGCTTACGGCAATTTATGACAGACACAAAACTTGAGTCTTCTTCCATTCCTCTAATGCTGGCATTATATGCTGCAGTGTTTCCGCACGTGATTTGAATCAAAAAAGATATGACTTTGTGTAGTCACGACTTTACCGTTGCGTATAACGATAAATAATAGACGTATCTGAATTTAATGGAACAAATAATGCTAGTGACGAAGTTAAGTACTCGTATTTCCGGTGCGCAAGCCCTGAAGATATCCTATCAACACGCTGCAATGTACGATATTGCAAATCAACCACACCTAGGCCCATGTTAAATTTTCTACAGGTGTACTAGCTTGCCTCTAGCCCTTAAGTAGGAAATGTATTTATTAAGAATAATGAATTTCTAAAACTGGAAATTTTATTACCTAGAACCTAAAGCGGGATCCATCCTGAGTAGCTATAGTAAAGACAACATCTATTACCATTAGTAAACATAAATCTACAAAATGATTATTAAATTACACATGCCTTAAATCAAGTTATTTAGCTCTAAAGTAAGCTTTGTCCTGAACTACGTTAGAAATATTTAGTTGATGTACAAGCTTTTTAAGGTGTAATTGCTTTTATTTACTTTGGCAGCAAACACACGTCATTACATACATCGTACGTAGTTTGAAAGCATGGGAAATGATAATACTATTATCGATTCAAATAACGCGGCACGCTAAGAGCACAGAAAGCTGCAAGAAGCAAGAGTTTACATTTTCTAATCTACTGCTATAGTGTTTTTACTGCTCAGGTTATTCATGACATCGCTTTATAAACGCACCTCAGTAGCAGCTACATTACATTGCGAGTTAGTGACGCATGCCAATATTTTACAATTTACAGTGTACGATAGCAATGACCTGAGAGTTGCTGTACTATAAAGCTTTTCTTGATCAAGACAGAAGCAGGACTCTATTTTATTAGCAGCCTTAAAGGACAACTCAGAGCTTGCTGGCTTAAGCCGAGCTCGACATATCTATGCTTGAGTATATTTCGAGGGCCACGCAGCACACAGCCAGGAGGAAGGCGGCTCACAGTGTATGAGAATGGACACAATAGAGCTGCTGCTGAACGCCCACTTAGTTGCATAACAAGTGCTTACTCGTAGCTAATGCTTCTCGCTATTATACAATGTTATCAGTTTGCCATGATCTTTTAGCGAAGCAAAGTGACAACTAATGTAAATGCGTCAAGTTTACATTGCTCTTTTCCTATCTCCTGTTTACGTCACTTGTGTTCCTCCATATTGCATAGGATCTCTACCCAACCTCAGAAGCTGCCTCATATCGTTGTTAACAAAAATATGCTCGTATGTATCTTTTGTCGTTGATGCTCCCTACTTTCACCAGCATCAGCATTAACACCGCTCATGTTGCGATTGCTATTTATGTTGATTCTCTATGGTCATCCCTTCGTTGTCCGCTCGCTGCCGTCTTTCCATAGGAAATCACTAATTTATGGATATGTTCGGCTGCTCTCCTCGCTTGGTTCGAACAGGAGTAGATCATCAAATCCGATACCGGGTGTGAGGCCTATTTCTCTATATACAAAGAAGTCTGTTTAGAACTTACCCCCGAGCATTCATCACAAAATATTCAAATATACGATGTTCATGATCGCAGATAGGCACGAGCAGAACACGTAATATGCACATTAATATTAATGATACGTACTGTATGTACAATATATGCACTTGCACGGATTTAACAATTGATCTAATTTTTTTATGCCATACTGACTTTATTGTGGGTTTAAGCTGTGAACTGCTCGTTCAGAAAACACAATTGATTAAAGATTGATTCAAAGCTAAAACACAAGCGGAAAAAAATCAAAGCTTTATTCACTTACGTGTGGTACATATAAGCGCACGGCGGGCTCGAACCAGAGGCTTCCTTCAAATAATATTCCTTGGTGTAGTAAAAAATATTTTTAATCTCTTTAAAAATTAAGCTAGATTTGCATAGGAATAACTCTGATCTCAGTGTACGTATTTGCGTTTTATAATTATTTGAAACCTAATAGGTCGATGCATAGCTGCACACTTAAACAAGCAAAATTTGGACAACGTATATGGGTATAAATTTTATTCTTGAGAAACCCCCTATTAAAACCCATTTTGTCAAGAAGTCACGAGCTTCTTAAGTCTCAAGTGATCCTGATTATTTCCGTCGGCTTTCAAGCATTGCATTAGTTATAAGTTATTTGGTTCGGTGCGTTTCGACTGCCGTCAGCCGAACGCTCGAAAGCATACGCCTATACCTGAGACAGAATAAAAAGGTGTAAACGATCGATTTAGACACTTTTTTTTTCTAAATTGAAGTATTTAGCTGTTTTTTCTTTTCTGTCTTCCTACCATGCATTTTTTGCGTGAAGTCACGTTATCAGTGATGAAGTAATCCATGTTTATTGTTTTTACTCAAAGGTGCTAGGTGATATATGTGTTTAGAAGCTTTATTGCTTCGGATGAGTCTTGTAAATCATGACCATCTGTCACTAGTTTGATGGAGTTTTTCGTAAGCTTGACGGTTGCTTACAGAAAATTCTAAAAATCTGATTTTTAAAGCCTTGTTTTTTTTCCTAGCAATAAATCTGGGTCTTGGTGAGTTTTCGATCAAACTTAACAACCCGCAGTGGGTGGATAAAAAGTCACAGACAATAGAAACGATGCTTACTTTGATCGCAAATGCCATAGGTGACTGAATGATGTCTGAGCTATTGTAGATTATGAGACTCACCTCATTGCAGAAGCCTACCGGCTATTGGATCCGCCCTCGATTAATGCGCTGAACAATGTTAACACAATTTCCTGACGCTTTAAAAAAAACAAGCAATATCGTCGAACGTAGGACAGTCTCTTGCGCTTGAAAAGTCCGTAAATAGTTACGCCTCGCCTATGCATCTACATAAAACGAAATCTCACAAGCGTATCAACGATAACAATAGAGTGTTTTCAACAACGACTACTTTGTACTAGCCATTATTGACTAATCATGCAAATTGTACTTGTCATTAAGTATATGTTGAATAAAATGGGCGCACATTGGTGAAAATAGATAGTCAAGTAAGTAAATAGAATAAACTTTATTTCGTTTATGGACTGAGTAACAAGTGAATAACATAAACATGCTTTGTTGTCTGAATCCACATTTTTTCATCGGTACATACATGATTTTGTTGCAAGCAAAAAAAATAAGTGAAAGTATCCTTATCAGACTTCAAAATTTTTCTTATTGGGTACACTGTTAGTTCGTATACATCGTTTAAGGAAAGGTTGCTCCTCAAAAACGGATTTCAAAAATATAAGACACGGTCGTAATGTTCTCTAGTAAGATCGAACTATTCCGCTAACTCATATTGAAAATACACATGGTATGAAAAAAATTTACTTCGCTATGATGAAGTGTTTTTACATTATTTCAGATGCGCCTTAAGTATAATACTGTGATATCTGAAAAAGTTAGAAAATAATAGCCTATTCGGTTTATAAGCCACCATCCTTTGTTGTCATCATATTCGAATAATGGGTTCAAATCATAGTTATTGGAGAACAGTAACTGCGAAATATGTTAGAAATACGGGCTGGAAGTGTGCAGCGTATGTAATTGTTTTAACTAGTCCTTCAGTACAATGATAATCTCACGATAATATTTATTTACAGCGCCCAAATTAAATTAAACTTTACGATTTTTCATATTTCCGTAGGTTCGGAAAATGATAAGCGCGTTGGGAGCTTTGGATCTAGTCGCTGCGTGGGTGGGTATCCGCATCAAGCCGATTCTCCAACCGGAGGGCTCGGTTTCGCTATCAAGAGCGAGGCCAAGGAGGATCACCTGGGTAGGACCATGAGCAATCACATTATCCATAGTGACTACGCGGCTAACGGTAATGATACTATTTTAAACTAGAGTTACACCCGTCCATCTTTATAATTCACATGTTCAACCATTAAATGTAATGTATTAGCAGCATCCAGTGCTTTCAAAAATAACTTAATAACTTGCACACTCGTCCCAGCTCTCTGGCAGCTTCTGGACAGCCAAACACATAACATTCGCATTCTAGTAAGGAATTACTTTATCTATGGTTTCTCGAAGTAAATCGATAGTGGGATATACTTACTCATCAGATGACCTTTTTAGGGCATGGAAAGCCCCGTTAACACACAAACTTATATCTGGAGAACACGCGGATTGAAGTCAGTGTTGGACATTCATTCGTCTGCTCAATCCAAAGAGCAAATGAGGCATAGAGCATGAGAGGTCCGGTGTCGTTATTATGTAATCAGATTGCGTACTGTCAATTACCGTGCTAATAGTGCATGAGTTTCTTAAAGTTTCTTAAAGGCTGTGTTTATTGGTTTATTTTCGGCAAGTATCTCAGAGTGGCAGATGCTCCCGATGTCTACTAAAAGCACTACCATCATCTTACATCCGAATTTACCCTACATTGTTACTGAGCTCAATATCTCCGCAGAGCGAAATCATTCTCTCGCTTGGTCCCGGTTCGGCAGCGAGAGAGATTGAAGCGCGCCGTATGTTCCAGGCTACTTTTTCGTTAATTAAAGTTTCGCAAATTGCACACAGAGTGCACAACACGTATTCTTAATTGGCCTAGGGCTAATTCATAAGTAAGTCATTTTTCACTTAAATTTCGCATATTCAGTGCTTGGGTTATAGTTCTCTAACAAGTCACATGTGAAATGCCCCAAGCTCTGCTTTCGTAAGAGCTTTCTCGATCGTGGCAATGCGTGTTTATCGTTCAGGTTCCGGCACCTGATTACCCCTTCGCTAGTCTCCAATACTCTAATCATCGTTCTGAAAACATTTGCATTAGTTACGTGCTGTGCGTTCCTTTAAGGCTTTCTTGCCTAATGTCTTCGCCAATTTTTTATAAATTTCCGCAGCGCTATGGCATACGAGGAACAAAAACTTAACTACTGAGCGTTGATTTTCGAAACTAGCATGTTCGCTTAGCACAGCCTAGTAGTAGAGGCTACTTAAAACTTGAAATTCCATCGGACCTTTAAACATCTACCGTGCTTACAGCAGGGTTCGCTAAGTTGCACTCATCTCTTTTGAAGGAACGAACAAGAAACATGAATTTTATCATTCAACTTATTTCTTCGTTCTTTGGATTAAGTTTCACTAAGATAAACTGCTCGTATATAATACTCTTTCGCGATAGTAGAACCGTAGGACAAAGAGTAAAAGGCGCCCCTAAGTGGAAAGGACAGCTCTGACATCTTCTCAGCTATATTGAGATAGACCGTATGATACAAAACAACATGCTCTACTCTTCCTTATCGTTTGATCTTCTGTTGATAACATGTCACGCATTTTGTACACACTATATTTGACTCTTAAAGCAAGATTTAATGCATTACGCTGTCCCTCAACTCTTAAATCTCAGAAAATCAACAAAAGGTGTTTTTTGCACTTTCCTCACAATTTTAAATGAAAAAGAAATTTCGTCACATAAACATGCTTTTTTTTTGATTAAAAAGCAGTTAGCGGACAAAGTGATCGTAATTGGCACACGCTATAATTATAACAGTATATGCTACACAGCAGCCTTAGTAGAACAAGAAAAAAGATTACTACAAATTCGAGTTCTGGTTAAAACCGGAACTGAATTATAAATTGCTACCTGTAGCATATGTAACGTCTCACTTGCTCTATAGAGTGAGAAGCATTCTGCTTTCACCTTATGTACATTTTCACACATAATATATTAGTAAAAAGTCAGATTACTGCTTTAACTTGGCGCGGAGTAGATTAAATATTAGTTGGTTAGGCGTATTACAGTAAACACACCGTCTGCTTTCCACCTAATAACCGTATTGTAGTATTACTGTGTTATGGTTTTATTCGACGACGGTTTTTTGCATCGATGACAATCTAGGGAAATGTGTTAATAATACAATGTGGTGTTGTCAGCAGCACTAACAGAACAGTGACTGACTGGCATATGGGTGGCCGTGGGCATAGAGTTTGTTGTTGATTGTTGTATACTGCCGCTGCTGTTGACCCGTCAACGTTTGCTATTTTTGCTAACAGCGGGAGAACTTATGAAAGCAACAAAACCGGGTAGAATGCTTGAGTTGGCACAGTGATCCCTGTCGGCCCTGTGGTCCATACGCCTGCCTCTTTTGGCACCACTGACGCTTCGCTCACTAGAGCGGCTTCAGCGCTGTGTGACGGTAGCGATGCGAAGCCGAGCATCAACCGTCTGCTCTTTTCTGCGCTTCTGTGACCTGAGATTTGTTTGCCAGTGCGGTTGTCCAGCATCCAGTGGGCAGTTCGCTACTACTTGCCTGTGTTCCGTGCAGTACAGGCCAACAACGCCGGTGTCATGGCCATTTAACTGGCTATGGCTTCTTGTTAGGACCGCTGCTATGTTACGGGCCGTTCACCGCGTGTCGTCTAGTAACTTCTATAAATTTAGTGGCTGTCGCATGGGGTCGGGTTAAATCTTGAGCTGAGGAAATTTTCTATGCTTCGCGGTGCTGACGCTATCAAACGAAGGCTCCTACTTTTCGTGCATTGTTTACATATGATTGTTGCTTTAATAACGAATCCTGAGTTACCAGGAATATTTCGAAAGTACGGTTTCGAAATCTCCATAACTTGTTTGGGGTACGATACTTTTCGACAGACAATACATGTGCATTGTAATACGTTTATCACAATTTTATTTACATTCATTAAGGACACTGTCAAAGGCAGGCATGGACAGCTCTGGACAACAAAAAATACTGTTGAGTACAGTATATAATCAACGTAGCATCAAGTACTTTAAAATGTTATACGCAGTTCAATGACTACCAGGAATTTGATATTTACGAACATAATTATAACAGTTCGGCGGCGGCGACATGCCTGTTTTCGCGTAGACGATGTGCAACCTATTTTTATGCTTTGCGTTTCATAAATGTACATAGATTAGTTTAATAAACGTAATTGGAGTAAGTGAAATACGAAGTCGATTCGGCTAGCTAGAGTTGTATGTTTATGTGAGTCCTGTCTTTCATACGCCGTTATTAGCGGTATTATCGTCGTTTAATGTTTCCATTTAGTGATTACGTTTTCGGGATTCCTCGTTATAATGACGCTAATCTGATATCTATTATCCATATGACAGTATGGCTTTCTGGCTGTGCACGTTGTTGAATGCCTGTCATTTTCTGCGGTTACCAACCGGGTTTGAATTTCTGTTCCCGGCACGCTTATTAGTCTTGCTGAATGTTTTTATAAAATAAGAGAAAGGAGACCGTTTGCTGCCGGATATATGATAAATATGTTCTACCTGGATTGACAGGTGAGATTAGTGGTGCACATAGAGCTTATGAAGCCTACAGGGATGCACTGCATAGTGGCTTAAATTTCCAGCTATTTACCTTCTTCGTTCGTTGCTTGTGTATCAGTAAACCTGGTTTAACTAATAGATAAACACTGAAGTAGAGTTCTCTTACTGCAATGAAATTGTACTATGAACCGGTTTCAGCATGCTCTCACTAGGAAAGCCATGATCCATCAAGAATTACCCATTTTCTCGGTTTCTCTGCCGAATCTGTTATCACTTGCTCTGTACAAATGATACAAAAAATTGTAGCTGCAGCGTTAAATATGCACACACTACATAACGGTGCAGATGTGTGAAAAGATATTTAAATACCATAAAGTAAGACAAACACTAGCTAAGATCAACATTCAATAGGATACTATTTTGTTGTCTCAAAATAGAATTAAAGATATAAACCTTTCTAAGGATTTTGCGGCTCATTTATGTTACGGCGCTATAGACATGGGTGCCGTTTCATGTGCATATTCGATGTGCATTAGGAAGCATTCGAACTGAGGTATGGCAGGACATGTGCGAACTCTGCAAAGCGTACCTGACTGCTGGTTGCTGTTCGCCAGATGGTGGCTTCGCGCATGCATTCGACTAAAGTTGAGCCGAAGTGCTTTCTCCTCCGCTATAATAGAGTTAAATGTTTTTAGTCTAGTACTAGAGCACCACCTGCGGCCTTCGCCCCGCGTTTGTTTTGCCATTAACACATTTTGCCAGTTTAAAGGTAAAAAGCGAATAATAGTCATAACAGTGGTAACGTTAAATAACGACCAGCCATGATTATAATAGCTATGATTTACACTATACTTTACACAGTTTTCCATGAAATATACGTTAAACACACTTTATTCAAGAAACACAAATTGAGAGTACTTGTTCACGCAACACAATATTTACACTGGTGATATATCACATTTCTTTCGTGTCTGGTTTTACGTCTAGTACTTAAACGGTTAGGAATTGCATCAGATGACTGCTCCTTAGCACGAAACGAAGTGCATCTTCGTTTGGATTCGAATCTAGACCACCACGTGTCCTTAAGTTCAGCATACAACCACATTACTTATTGCGCTATCACAGAGATGGCCGACAATGCTGATGACCGTCTTGGTGTTTGTAAGCGCTAGTACGGCGTGGTTTTTAAACATGGAAAAAGAGGAAAAAAATTGTTGTCGATCAAAGTAACAGGTACGATTTATTGGATAAAAGCGAACCTTTCCCTCAATTATCCGGCCAATCAGCTTCATCTTTCGCGCATATCTTCCCAAGACAAATCTCTAATGCATTTAGTAAAAAATCCTACCCATTTTACAATTACAATTTTGATATATCAGTGACATCTCTATTTGCTTTATCTTACACTCGATTGTTAGGTTCACGACAGGTCACCAGTCCTTATTTAAGAATAACCGTTCTTTAGATTTACTCAATGAAGCAGGAAACATAAGAGAAATATACTGTGGAAAAGATAAGAGTAATAGAAAGGGTACATCTTGCAGCAAGTGGCTCTTAAAAAAATTAAAGCTGCAGTATATCAAATATGTATGGTAAAAAAATTAAAGCTGCAGTATATCAAATATTTATGGAATAATAGAATTGTGCCCAGAACAGGAACGTCGGTCGGGAAAGCAAATTTGCGTAAAAAGCGAGTTTACCGTTACCGAAAACGTTAGGGACGGAGGTAAATTTACAATTAAAATTGACGCTCCACAAACTATAACTTACTTTTTACTTAATTGTGAGTTCACGTGCAGACCTGTTCTTGGTATCCGTAGATCGTTCTTTTAGCTACTGTAATGGCTCTCTTAGTATCTATATATCAAGGGCGCTATGTTATTTGTTTTTTCTTGGATTCGCTCGAAAATTTAGATTTTTTCTCTACTATTTATCATGTAAGATATAGTTGTGCTGGCCATTTTATAAAGTACAATGCAGAACATTATCTTGCTGCCTAGTTAAAAAAGTGTCTCTTAAGCTAGTGGACATAGGTTTCCATGTCCAATCCTTACAAATAACGCGAACGCGACGTTCAAAAGAAGACGCTCAGTGATCCGCGGAGCGAAGTAAAAAATCACTCGACCGAGTACAGTCGCATATAGTCTGAGCACTTGGCTCTGTAATCCCACCCGCGTTGGAGAAAGCCTGCATTGAGTCTTACATACTATATGGCATCGTTGTAGGCACCGGTGGCTGTAAGTGTTATTTTTCCAATGATCTTATCCTTGTCGAGACTACTATTGCGGGCGTCATTGACGATGGTAGAGTTGGTCAAGACCATTGCGTGCCTTCCGTCGCTTACCTATTTTGTCAGCTTCGTTTAGAGTCGACGGATCTATCAATCCGACAGGCCAACAACCGTAAACGCAAAAATTGAAATTCACCAAAGCATGTAAAATTCAATTTGTTGTTTGTTTGCACTGTTGGGGAGCGGCTTAAACCACCCCCTACGTCCGTAAGAGACCTAACGATGATCCACTCTCTGACTGCACAGCAACTTTTAGCCCACTAGAAGTCTGGGCAGTCCCTGTGCAGACAACAGCCAATAGGGAGAAAAGTGCAGCGGGGCTTAACGCCAATAATGGGAATAGTAAGAATAATGGGGCGCTACTGTAAAAGACAAGCCACACAACTACATAATTGAGAATACATCACTGCCAAAACGGATTAAAATTAAATTAGTTCTCTGTCAACCAGAAGTGAAATCAGCTATCCCCATTGCTAGAAATTGCTTAGTAAAATTTATCTAATAAATCGAAACGAATATTAATTACAAAACATACACGAACTCATTAGTAGAATAACAACGCACAGTTTCTGTGTATGCAGATAATATGCATCGGGTGAATCAAGCATGGTTCCAAGGCTTTCTTTGGTGAGCTTGTTATGTTCGGTAAATCTAGTTGTATATAGGGCCATATATAAAATATTTGTTGTTGGTTCAAAAGCGACTGATGGGAAATTCGACTTGAAATCGACGTTATGACCAAGCCTGCAGCTCAGATTCTAAAATAGAAAAAACATTGTGCTGTATATCTTGATGGCTGACCTTGTTAAGTAAAGTTTCAGTTACTGTATCGCTTCTCTGCAATCACGTACTCACTATCCAATATTATTTCAGATAAGTCAATGGACGACGCGCTTCGAGGATCTGCTGGCGGGGCCCAAACGCCACAAGGCAATACCCCGGGCCCCAAAGGAAAGAAAATGCGTAAACCACGAACAATATACTCCAGTTTGCAACTACAGCAATTAAATAGGAGATTCCAAAGGACGCAGTATCTCGCCCTCCCTGAGAGGGCTGAACTTGCAGCGTCTTTAGGACTCACCCAGACCCAAGTAAGAGTTCAAATGCGATCCTAAGGTTGAATTGTCTGTATCCTATAGTAAATTTAGGTGACACACATATATATATCCCTAACATTTGATGTTCATATTCATCCCTAGCTGTATAGATGTTTACCATGAAATTAAAATAGACATCAAAATTGCCGCAATTTGAAAAAAATAATACTTTGAGCAATCTGTAGTGTTTAAGAAAAGGAAGGGTTTCCGTTTTTTAAATAAAACATTCAAACTTTGGAGACAAAATCGCTAACACAGAAGGGCGTAACCCACGAAAAAAATAGTACGATCGATAATTGATATAAATACTATACCTGCTTGAAATAATTATCAATGCTATGTAGAGCGTAGAGTTTGGAAAAAACGTCTAAATTTTGCTTACTTGACTCATTAACCGTATCGTACGATGGCATACGCTTTAAAACGACAACTAGCAGCAATACCAAAAGAGGACAGTACAGTTACCTGCGTGCGTTAAGAAAAAACACGGATCCTTTGTCATATAATATGTAGTATAGCAAGCTGTGCAACAGCATCCATTACGTTATGGACGCACCTGTTTACTCCGCCCAGATGCGGCGCAATTGCCAATATAATGTGGGTAGACTATTAATTCCCAAAGGTAGACTTCCTTGCAATTATGTCGTCAAGTTTTTTTTAATCAAGTTAAGAACTGTTGAATAGGCTTCATATATATATATATATATATATATATATATATATATATATATATATATATATATACTTTTTGCACTTTTATATGTATACAAAGAATATGAAATAAAAATGGTCTGATATTAAGAGCATTTCAATTTTTCATCGGTGCAATATATATAACATGTATCTTTGAATGACTTTTGCCCCACCCTGCGCATATATAGAGGTATAGCCTATCACACTGAAGATCGTACACGTTCACCAACACAGCAGCTGGGACTGTGCATCGTCCTTCACGCTTCGCTAGCAGCTCTGAGCAGCAATTAGTGCCGTAGATACACATCCATGTATATATAAGCATTTAGATGCTGTATCCGATTCTTGGTGATCTGATCCAGTTCTTTGTCTGTCTGTCTTTCCCGTTACGGTATTAGCTCATTGACTCAATGACAAATATGTAGACAGCGTGACCAGCACCATATATATATATATATTTGCCCATATCGTTTGTATGCTGGGCTATTTTGACGGCTTTATCTCGCCACTAGTGCTGCAGTGCGCATTCATGTCATCATGTGGCCGTGATATTACTGCAAATATTCATGAAGAATTTACACAGCGTGTGCAGTTATCCTTATCTATAATGGCTCTATGACAGGCAAACGTTTACAAAATACATGGTAAAAGGAACTTCATTCTAATATAAACATGATAACGCTAACGTGAATATATTCCCTTTTTATAGCACCAAAGCGATCTGTAAAAGCTTTATTGTGCTTCCAGGTATTATAGTTTATAAACAACCTTACTTAATTGGCATAATATGCTACATATATGGCAGACTGGAACCAACAATTCCCTGGGCTTCGCATCCATATTGTTCCCTGCGCAGCAGAGTTGAGTTGAGCTCTTTCAAAGCCGGTTGCTGTTTTGTTACAAGCATGATATTGAGCCACATAAAATATCAGTGTGGTGAAAAAAATATCGTACTAAGTTTAAAGAACGATAGAATGGAACGAAAAACCTAATCGGTCGAATAGCATTTAAAACAAATATTATAAATCACTATCAACTCTCCCAAGATTGCATAATTTTTCCCCGTCTAACGTCCGATATGGGTTCATTCTCATGGAGAATATTATCACAATTAATTTTGCTATTTATCGCATGAAAGGAAACACATTTTGAGTATATATAATTTGTCATATCTATTTAGGACACTTTTTTTTATTGTCGAGAAAAGTGATGCAATTTTGTCCCCATTTCGTCCAACTTCGCACCACACTAGTAAAAAACCCATATTTAACACATGTATTTTTTTTCTAGAGATTGAATTACCTAATCAACAAGTGGTTTAAACAATTACAGAATATGGTATCAGTATGGTTGGCTGTAGGTGCTCAATTTCTCCGATTCAAATTCAATGATACACATCGTTTTATTTGCTTGGATGAGTCTAAATATTTTATCAAAAAAATTGTATAGCTTTAAAGAATACTTTGTAGGCTCACAAATGTTTGCTTTTTCTATCAAGTTTGGGGATAAAAAGTTGTTAAGTTTTTTAGCATTAATATATAACTGCATAGTTTATCTGCTCAATTTGATTACAACATAAAGTATTTGTATTGCAACGGTTTTTATTGTTACAATGGAAACTAAAGTGGTGCAAGGCAGTCCCAACGGGGGCAAACTTAGGTAAAGTAATCCTAATTGACATATTTGTCAGTTCACACGCAGGAAAAAGCAACTCTGCAGCAAAGCCGTATAGGTAACGGCCCAGAATAGTTGACATAAATAATTATGATAACTAAGAGCATCTCATATTCGTGTCATAAAGAACTAGCATTTTCACATATGTTGCAATATATGGTGTGGCTGGTTACCACACGGTAGCTGGACCAAGTGACCGCGTAGCGAAATATCCATTTGTCTGAAGACTTTTTTGAGCTGGACATATTCAACGAATTTGCAAAATTTAACCCTGCTAGGTATAAAATATACCCTAAAGCAATAAGAAGGTCATCATTTTTAACTCTTTTCTTTTGGTAAAAGGCTATAATGATGACGCTAAAAATAAATCTTTTTAGAAAGCATATTTCTAAATAGCACATTGAACAGCAATAGCCACATGGTTACAAGGGTGAAATAAATAACGTACAAACATGTGATTCCAATAAAAAAGGAAAACTACTTCCCCTCAATTGTAACTGCGAAGTCAATTACTGACCGCATCTGAGTCCGAGTTGACGTATTTGAGGATGCCCCTCTCGTAGGGTCCCTCCTGCACCCATTTACCTTCCTTTACTAGTTAACGAGCTATCTGTATCTGTCTACTTTTTCTCTTTGCGATGAAGCAGGAACTATACCCAGCGAAACCAAGTTTCAGGTTGCCCTGTCTGGTATGATTCATGTATGCCCGCCGTTGCAGCCAATGACGGTGCTCATCTCGTGCACCCTATTTTTGGGGCAAAAAAACCTTCAACTATACCTACCTTCTGCTCTCCTTCCTTTCCGGAATGCTTGTTCTTGAAATCATAGGGCGGTTTGTTTTTCTCTAGTTTTCCTTTTTTCTCCCATCAGCAGTCCTAGACCCCAGAGCTAAACATTTTTGCTATTTTCGTTCACTGATTTCCCTGTCAAACATCGCACTCATCCCCTTACCAGTCATTTTCCTGTGTAAAGGGATCTTAAGGCTCCAACGGTCTCTCAACGCTCTGTTTCATTGTGCCTCTTCCCTGTGGTCCTCTCATTTTCGTTTGGTCTTACTCCATGCTACACGTCCTCCCCTTCTCCGAGTGATCTGCTACCTGAGAGTGACAAACGAACACCGTACAGTCGCCTTGACTCAGCCCCCGACACACGCAACCTTATGATCCTAGACACTCCTCACTCTACCACTGCAATGCTTTTTTCTATGTCATGTGTCTTCCCTTACCTGCTGCGGCAATTTTGGGTTGTACAGAAGTAATAGGTACGTAAACCATAGCAAAATAGGCAGGAGTCAACTAAACAGTTTGTGGGCAGTTTTGAATCACCGTCACTGTAACATAGTGTACGGGTAATTAAACTCCAGTCTGTGTAATTAGAAAGGTAGTTTGTAAAGATACGTTTGTGAAGTACTAAAAAAAATGTTCGATTCTATAATTCATAATAAATACATTGACAAAATAATTACGAACGAGTACGCAAAAATGTATTATTTGACACGTTTTTTTTCAGATTATACCGATACATATGATGTATGAAATAAAAAAGGAACGTGATTTATAACTAAATCCACCTACGCATCCATTAGCATGCCTATATTTCGTAAATAACAAGTTTTGTTATGGAACCTACAAGTTCGGGAGTATCTCCACTCGATCCATTCAAAATAAACTATATATGTATATATATCAATCTCTACTATATATGTTACTTCATTGTCATATGAAGGATCGCGTTCAGAGATTCTGCTAAATATTTAAAGGGAAAAAAGCCGCCGAAATGCAAAACAAAGGGGCTTTGCCTTACCCGGGCAGACTTCCATAGTCGAAAATCGTATAATCTTATAAATTGGTTTATCCGGTTGAAATAATACTGGTACATTTAACTTTTAATTGAAAGTTTAATTGAAAAACTTTTTCCCAGAACGTAACTATATTTTAGTAAGTGATAGAAAATGAAGTAGATTCAGCAGGAATTCCACCGGAGATTATTCGTCTCCCTCAATTACAGAAACTATTAATATCTAATAGCGTGTGTCCATATTTAGTCACATATAAAAATATGGACATAGAATAGAATTCTACATTAGTGACATAGTATAGGTGCTGCTGTATTTCCGCACTGTTTATTAAGTACATCTTACATTGTGAAATAACACTTCAGCCGTTTTATCAAACTGTATGCGCCCACGTTTCTAATAGTAGTGGTCAGCGATTATGACTGACGTATGATGGGCGTCCAAGATAACCATGCAACCCAAACGGCGATAGGTTATAATCGCTGCTGTTATTTTTGTGCTACCCTTCGAGTCAGCAGCTTTTGACTGTAGTTTCCATTACTTCACACTTAAATAATCGTATGTCTTAAAAATTTAGAGTACCAGGAACTAAATATCACTACACCACCAGCGACACTTGTCAGGAGCATATAAAGCGAGCTCGATTTATTTAGGCAAAATGAACGACAGTATAATAATCTATTTCGAAAGCCCGGTGTTGAGTTATGCAAAAAAGTGTTATCACTGATTGGCAACTATTGATGTACCTGCTACCATAACCATCGCTACAATTATAGCCCTACCTGGCACAGATTTCCTATCTAGGGCATGCGTTCGGAACAGGTCTACATAT